TTTACCACTTCACTACTAAATTAAAATTCCGACTAGATTCACTTGAGTATTTCACGGGAAGAAATTGAATTGTAATATTCAATGAATGGGGCGTTTGGTTTTCGTTGAAATCATATTCATGTGACGAACGACATTTTTTTTCATAACTGAAGACAAAAAATATATTCCTCATGTCTTTTTACCTCAGCTCAACATGCGCCGTTTTGTCAGGTGAATCGGCTGATTGGTACTCAACAGAATGGCACGTCCTGACCCCCATCTAACTGTGCTACATATAGAAAATTGGAAATTCCAAAGGTGTCCAATACTTGTATCGAGCAATCTCGCGGGAGTCTAGAGACTCTGGAGATGAGGATGGGAGGGGGGAGGAGAAGGGTTGATTCCCGTTTCCGATTTTCCTCGTTTCCGTTAGCACATCGGACAGTATAAGGAAAAGTTTTAGCATCACGTGTGTGGAAATTCCAACGGGCGTCATCATAGATTCGGGACGCGTTTAGAGAGCCATATACTGGGGGGTCCATCTTTGGTTCAGCCTCACTCCGCTTTTCTGGTTGTTTCGCGCGGTGGGTGGAACAAACTTCGGGCCAATGTGGGATTGAACGAAAGGGCGATGGAGAATCAATTGAGATGGAGGGGAATATTGGGTGGAATATTTATTCGGTGGGGATGAAGGATATGCTGGTTGTTTCGAGGGAGGATATAAATTGAGGGCTGTTGATATTTCTGGGAGATGATTGAGGTAATCCGAGTGGTGTATTCCATTCAATTTTCAGTGAAATGTAGAGTTTTATGATGTTTCTTTCCCTCAAATCGAATCCAGTGGCACTTTCCGGGGAAAGGAATTATTTTTCTGCACGGAGAGAAATGTACGAGAAAAATTCCCGAGCTCCCACAGTAAAGTGGGTTCAGATGGTCTTTCCAGGCGAAATGTACCGCAAAGAGTAGGAAAAAGTACTGTTGCACGAGTCATTTTTCGGATAAATGCGGGGAAAAATTCTTGTGCAGCACGGTAAAATCGAAGCGACAGTGAATTTTTACGAGAAATACGAGAAAAATTATGACACTGGCTGGCAAATTTTAATTCATAATCGTGCCTTAATTCATGATGATTTTGTTTTGGTTTTTTACCTACAGAGAATAATTTGGATTTTTCGTAATAAAGAAAATCCCTGCTCGCCCGAAGCTCAATATTGCCACTTCATCACAAATGATATCGAATTTGAATTGAAAATGATAGTGTATACCTGATATTCATTCCCTTGGTAATTGAAAAAACCAAAAAACCCGTTCGTTCTTCGAGAGGTTGGTAAATTTTCTGCCTTCAAAATTTCTTATCTCAAAATCGCAATTGTGTTTTTTCACTCGATTTGCGTGTGAACGTGGATAATCCAAATACCAATGATTCTTATGGAGTGAATATACTTTGGAAGAACCTAATGGACTTCACCATAATCTCTATCACAATCATATTAAATTTTAATATTAGTGGGAATCCATCGAAAACATCTATGTATCGGTTCTACCAATTCCTAAGGCACGTAAGGTAGAGAATACGCGCGCGGAGCGCGCGGCCTATTCTAGTATCTTAAATTAAGATATCTTAAAGGCACTCGTTTTCACAGTGTGAAGATTGAATATGACTGATATCGTATGTCTCGCCGAAGGTACACGCGGTTTCATGTCTATATCTCACAAAACAAACTCAACACGTCAATTCAACACACGACATTTCAACACACAACAAATTCAACACCAACAAAGTCAACACAATCAAACTCATCACAACACAATTTAAACATGCGTAATAATCAACAAAAATCAAACAAAAACACCATTACATGTACTCTGGATGTCAACAAACACATTGAAAATATCACCATTGGGCATCCAAAGGAAAAGACAATAAAACTCCCAGCTATCTTCATAGCATCCAACCCATATACATTTGAAATATTAGTACATTAGAGTACAAGGGCACAAATCTCGCCTTCGGCTCGGCCTGTAAACTACACATTCGTTGAAAACGAAATTTATTACGGAGTGCTCTATAATATTTTATGTCAAGTCGTACAGAAGTCGAGTTTTGAGCAGGCTGCGCGAAGCGCAGCGTGCGATGAACTCGACTTATTGCACGGCGCGACATAAAAATATATAGACACCAATACGAAAAAACAAACGAAACCAACCCAACCATATACCTGACAATCGAAGAATAATCAGTACAGTGAAAACTCTGATCGAGCACACAAGCATTACCATGCCGTTACATTTTGTAATAAGTCAACGAGGTAAACGACAACTAACTAGGCATCGCCGAAAACATCAAATTATAAATAATAATGATAAATCTATGGAATATACTCACTCGCGCTGATCAAATGTATATAACCACGTTCACTTAATAATATACTTAGATATGTTTTTTGTGAAAAATAAAATGACATGTTCAAATAAATTGATGGTGAAATTAAATATGATGGAAAAACCGAATGATGAAATGGTTTGGTAGAAAATGAAAATGTTGAATTAACGTGTTGTGTTGAAATGACGCCATGGAGTTTAGACGTGTCACCGGTACACGCGCGAAGCGTAAGTAATCATTATTGTCTTCCGGGAATTTCAATTTTTCTTTTAACAATAAAAGACCCCCCCCCCCCCCCCCCNTTAACAATAAAAGACCCCCCCTCCCCCCCGCGCATACGTGCCACACTCAGATGCGGGTCAGAACGTGGCATTCCGTTGAGTAGCAATCAGCCGATTCACCTGGTAAAATGACGCATGCTGCGTTAAAAAAAAGGAATCCATGAAAAATATATTTCCTAGTGAAGGATCCACCCGTTAACGTTAATTAACAAATTTAATTGAAAACCTACCGCTGAGCCAGTTAATAAATTACGTTTTCCCTGCCGTAGTCCTTCCACTCGTACTATTTGTTCATTAGAAAATTGCTTCGCTTCTATTCCGGTGAATTCGAATTTATTTATCCCCGGGTCAAGTGATAATGGTGGAAATATGATATCTCTCACAACTGCGTTCTCCCCCATAGTCTGCATGAAGAATGTGTAATTGATGCCAATTATCCCGGCTTGGAGATGCAGCCGTAATAACATAATGAAAACAAATCGTACTGGAGATGCGGCAAGATGCACGGAGAGATCGAGACGTTGAGTAAAATTACCGGAAAATCGTGGCAAATTTTACTGCACTGTTGAACATTTTTGTCTGAATTTTCCGGGCCAAATTCCGGAAATTTTATCGTGTTGAAGTTCCAATGACATTTCAGGGAATGTTGTCATTGAAACATCGAATATTCGATTGATTTTCTGTTCAAATGGTCTGAAAATCAATAAAATACCTCATTTTTTAGTTCCAATATTCTGTAAAAATTGTGAAAAATCAGGAGAATTCAGGGAAAAATTGAAAATTGCACTGAAAATTTAACTAAGGTGTGAAATTTCCATCTCATTCCCACTAAAAACCCATGAATTTCCTTGATAACTATTTTCCTTCTAAATACGTAGAGAAATGTTCAGTAAAAATTACGGAACTCACAGTTCGCTCACTAATTACGGAATCAGTTCAGAAAATTTAAGTGACGTTATCGTAATTTTTCACAGGAGATTCAGGTAAATATTACGGAACTCAATTTTTTCTCCGCGTGAAGTTTGAAAATCATGGGAAGACATGAGTCAAGCGGGGGTAGTTGGAATAAAACGCGACGAGCATTACATAAATTGGGAGAGTCTCATGGGGGGGAGGGGGCCAGGTCCTTCTCGGGTGAACAAAAGAGGGGGCGAGGGAGAGGTGAAGGGAGACTGACTAAGAATGGCTTGAGAACTCGTCGCCGCTAATGGCACCACCCATTATGACAATTGTACGCGAAAAATATATAACCTAACGAAGACGGAAATAAGAACGTAGAGACAATGACCAGAGGGTGTGTGGGGGGAGAGTAGGGTGGCCGGGGGGGGGGAAGTTGCATGGGCAAAGGGTATAATCTGCGCGGGCGCCACGGGGCAGAGGCCATCATGTTTATACGGGGGGGACCTTTCATCCTACATTCACCATTGCCGTCGGAAATTGCTGCGAAATTCATAACTTCCTACTTCCATGGGATAAAAAAAAAGAGAAAGCTAAAGATATTTATGAAATTTTCTCCTCGCAAAATTAGTAAGGGCAATTATTCATGAAGAAGTGACGTTTTTCCTTCGAGCAAGAATTGTCTTTCTAAATAACGACAATAAAATTACGTTATTGGGTTCATGTGAAGTTCATAAGGTCCAGAGAAATCCCCGTTGTGGTTTATATGACCTCCATAAGGCCCTAATATTGTATCCATAAAATTATATTAGAGCCCGATTGAGGCCTCATGAGGCTGATGTGAAGGTCAGGCGGGGGCCTTATAACCCTCATAAGACCCTGATAAGACCCTGTGGGCCCCATAAGACCTCAATAACATTTGGATCGCCCGTGTAATAATATTAAGACTATATCATGGCGTTGTAGGACTCACAAAGAGGTCAGTTGGGACCCATATCACCTCTGTACAATTTTAATAAGGCCCAGACAAATATACTCGGGTATTATGGGGCCCATATGACCTGTGTGTGATCCCCATAATGCCCCAATTAAGACTCACCCTGACTTTATAATAATATTGGGCGCATATGGGGGCCTTATGGGCCCGTATTAAAACCATGTGAAGTCCATATCTAGGTCTCACAACCTCCATAAGACCCTAATAAGGCCCAGATGACCATATTAGGGAATAATAGGGCCCATATGAACTTCTCGTGGGCTCCGTAAGGCCCCAATCTGGACTTAAGACTCTCCTATCGTCCATATAATAATATTAGAACCATATTCGGGCCTTATGGGCCCCATAAAAAAGCCATTTGGGGTCTATATCACCCCCATAAGACCCTTATAGGGCCCATTTAGGCTTCACCTGGCCACAAATATTATTATTCATTCATTCACCCATTTTTTTTCGATTCCAGAATGCGACTGGGTCTACGAAGACTGCATAAATCGTGACTGTATCCTCGCTAGTCCTGCCTACCCCGGTCTCTACCCACCCAACGTAAGATGTCGTTATCTCATTAAATCGAATGGCACTGTATCGATCACAATTATCTTCAGCGCTGTGCTTCTATCCTACAAGTAAGTACATAGAATAAAACTTTTCTTCTTGATACACTGTAACAAAGGAGACGCTCAACAAAGAGGTCATTAACGCAATTTCGTTATTCTCGTTAAGTGAAAAGGATGTTAGAGATGTAACAATGCCGCGCAGTTGATGGGGCTCGGTGCAATTGAAAATTGCATTTTCGCGTGATGTGATGCTTCACTTCCGTGGGAAAAATTCAAATGAATCATGCCATGGTTATGATATCAGGGATCATTATCTCGGTGAAACAAAAGAAATGAAATTCATTTGGTCTTTTACTCTTTTGGTATCTCGTTTTCCACATTTTTATTTTGTCTTGTTCTGCTCACAACCTTCGCCGGTAGTAAATTTTTCATCATAAAGAGAGTTGTGCAGTACCGGTGAAGGGAGATAAAAATATTAACTTGCACGTGGACGAATTATCACAATTGAAAACGAACATCACTCAGAATCCATTATCTGGGCCCAATATGGCGCATAAAATTTTATTAGGACTCTATTGGAGCCTTACTAAGGTGATACGAAGGCCTAATGATCCCCATAGAACCCTAACAAGACTTAGATGAGCTTATCAAGAAATAATAGGGTCCATGTGACCTTCGTAAGGAGCTCAGAAGGTCTCAAGACTCTTTTATCCCTCCGTATGAGACCATAAGGCCCCAATAGGGCCCTAATATCGTGCAATGGGATTCAGGAGGCCTTATTACTTCCATAACATCATAACCCGAATAATAGCGTCCATGTGACCTTCGTAAGGCCCCAGAAGGCCTCTTGTGCCTTCATATGGGCATAAGGCCCCAATATGGTCTATAAAATTAGATTAGGGTCCCAATAGAACCCATAAAGTTATATTAGACTCATAAAGTTATATTAAGGGCCCAATAGGACCCCAATATAATTATATAATTTTATGGGTCCTATTGGGCTCTTAAAATTAAATTAAGGGCCCAATAGGACCCTAGTGTAATTATATAATTTAATGGGTCTAATATAAATTTATGGGTCCTATTGGGATCCTAATATAATTTTATGGGCCATCTTGGGGCCTTACGAAACTCACACGGGCGCCTTATAAAACCCTAATCCGAATAATAGGGTCTCAAGACTCTTCCATAGGCCCATTAATTCATCTAAGGACCCCATTGAGCCTTCGAAAACGCACATGACCATACTGAAACAAAAGAAATGAAATTCCTTTGGCCTTTCACTCTCCGGTATCTCGTTTTTCCGTTTCTCTCGTTCTTCTCACAACCTTCGCCGGCAGTAATTTTTATCATAAAGAGAGTTGTGCAGTACTGGGGAAGGGAGATAAAAATATTAACTCCCACGTTGAAGAATTATTGCAATTGAAAACGAAGGAACATGTGGAGAATGCTCATCACTCGGCATCCATGCTCTCCTTGAGTACACTCCGAGCTCACCCCGGGTCTAGGCTTTTTATCACCAACGTGAACTCACCGAGTGGCCAGCTTCCCCTCGGCTCCCGCATCGTTGCACGCCTCCATATTTTTTTTTCTACCCGAGGTGAACAGAACACGGATAGCCATTATATGGTCGACTTTCCTCAGCGGCTCGAGGACTCTTGCAGTGGTACCAAAAGCCCTCGGGCGATCTTCGTATTTCGAAAATCCCAGGCTCTTGTATATACCCAACTACAGACTCGTGGTTATAATAAAAGAGAAAATGAACGAAAGCCCCTTCTGTTTTCAGTCGACTTCACTCACACTCAGGCGAGATTTATACTTTTTTTATCGGTTTTTTTCTCTTCGCTTTCTTGGGGAGATGCTGCGGGGGAGACGAAAAATTTGATTTCTCGTTTCCGTTTAACGAGAGTGAGGAATATCCTAATCTACCCCGACCATTCTTTCATAGACAAATGAGGCAAGGGGAGCTCTCTATGAGGATTTGGAGATTTCAATCATCTAATTTGTCAATTCAATTGCCTGAGGAACATTTGGCCACGATTTATTTGTCTTGTGACATTCCTTTTGTAAATAAACAACAGAAATTATTTACGCTTTCACGAAACTTAATGAAATATTTCTTTATCATTTCGAGAAAAAAATTTTTAGAGTGGGAATTTTATTTTTTATAAGTTACTGAGTTGATAATTAGTAATTCAGTAGCGAAGTGGTAAATCAGGTTAAGTCGATTTTGACTTTTCGTCAGTTTTTGATGAATATCTCGGAACCTAAGAGAGATAGCGAAATTTTTCTCACAATCTTTTTTATAACCCTCAATTGCCTCTACAAAAAAGGTTATGACAAATAATTTTCTATCTCTTTTATATTCCGAGATATTCGTCAAAAACTGGCCAACAGTCAAAATCGACTTAACCCGGTTTACCGCTTCGCTATTGAATTATTCAATTATTTTTAAAATTTTCCTGAAACGAAGAATTTTCCCTTTTTCTGATGAACAAAATGAGCAATTAAATATTGCCTTGACATCTAAAATTATATTTCTGGAATAAAAGATTGAATTTTGGTGTCAATTTAACAGACTCAAAGCTGAAAATATCCTAATCCATCTCAACAATAACTCCACAAAGAGAAAAACACCAAAAACATTTCCAAATTAATTAAACTCTCCTCTGAAATGTTTAAATATCGCTCTGCATCAAAGCATCTTCCCCCCTAATTGGAAAAAAACCGTCTGACGTAGGATGCAGGAGTATGTTGGATGATCCTCATGGCGCAAATCCAGGAATAAAACACCAATCTTAGAGAGCAAATACATGTAGGAGCCGCGCGTTGGATGCCAGCCCAGAGCGAATTCCTCGCTCTCCATTCGACCTAGAGAGCCCGGGCTGGCCCCAATCGATCCCCCTCACACCGTAAACCCCAACCCATTACACCCCTCGCTCGAGGATCTCGTTATGGCCCGATTCCCTTTTTACATACGAAAAAAATGAAAAAAAAAACACCGAGAAATGCAAGAATCCCCTTAGATTCTGTGCACCGCCTGGAGGGTGAAACTCACCCCTCATCCATGCAAACGTCAGAATTATGCCGCAGAGTGGAATTTATTTATTCTCTTTCCCTCCCTCCAATCCTCAGTGGCACAACAAACCCAGAGTTGATATATCCCACCATTCCGAGCCATTTGTGTGGGAAAATAGTCGTTAGATCACTCCCCTAAATTAAGCGAGTCGTTAAAGTCACGCAAAATTAAACTATTCAATGCAAAAGTGCCCGATCTCAAGAAATGAAGAATGTAAAACTCCGGAAATTGAAATGCTTGAGAAATTATCGTCAAGTTGTAATTCAGTGGTGAATGTTTCCAGGACAAAGAGTGGACTATTCGTTAAAGCTAGCAAATCCGGTAATTCGTTCACATTTGGCAGAGACAGATATACCCAGACACCCGCGCCCCAGCTCCGAAGACATTCCAGTGTCGACGTTGTAATGATATTTTTGTTATGGAACTGTATAATCGATAAATTTTGGAAAGAATCAAGAGAATCGATTGCAGAAGAAGAATTAATGCACTAACAAGTAATCTCAGGAGCCAAATCTCACTGCACTCGATGTTTTCATATCGGTAATAAATTACTAGGATCAACGAATACGTACCAATCGACGCGAAAATTTCAAGTACGAGGTCATTACGCCGTATTTATTAAAGTCGTCATTTTGATGCGTCACAAAGAATTATTTAATCAAAAAATCGTCAACTCTTCAACGGTCCATATGATGAATTATCCAAATTTGTCCTCGTGAATTTTCATTCATCACAATATACACTGTTCGAAATTTTTTGAAATTTCATGGAATATCTTACAGTAAATCTCATAAGAGTGACATTGAATCGGATTTGAGGAAAAATGGTTATGAAATTTCAAGTTTTAAATAGAATTCGCGGAAATTCATGAGTTTTCAGTGGGAGTGAGATGAAAATTTCACAACTTGATTGAATTTTCAGTGAAACATGAATAATCAGAAACAAAAGGACATGAATTTACAATTTTCCCCCGATTTTTCAAGTATTCTATTGATTTCCAGATCATTTGACACTAAAATCAATAGAATATTTGATTTTTCAATGACAAAACTTCCGGAAATTTCAGTGGAACTTGAATATGATAGAAATATCCGGAATTTGGCACGGAAAATTCAGATAAAATTTTTTAACAGTGTATCAAAAATTCATCTTAAACTTTATTTATCTCACACATTATCCATTCATTGACAAATATTCAGTAATATTAGTTCGACTTAATATAATTCAAGAAATAGATCTAATAGTCATTAGATCACTTCTCTAAATTCGGCGAGTCGCCAAAGTCACATCGTCGCTCTAAAGGTAAAGGGGCGTAAGTGCCAGGAAACAGTGTTTCCAAAGTGAAAGAGGCGTATGTCCCAAATTGATGGTTTTTATGCTTTTCATACAATTTCTGAACAAAAACCTATCAACGAAAATATCTCTAATNCCGAGTAAACATGAACAAATGGTTGAAACGGGTAAAATTTGATTTCTATGATGTGTACATTCACGAGAAGACGGGAATCCAGTGGACAATGGAGTAATCATAATACATTTCGAGACTTTCCAATGAAAGGGAAAAATACTTATTTTTCTCAGTATCATTTGAATTTCTGCTATGTACGGGAGTTACGCCTCTTTGTGATTATGATTTTTTAGGATGGATAAAAAATTGGATGAATGACTAAAAACAAAGGGGCGTAAGTGCTCGACTTACGCCCCTTTATTATTAATTTTCCTTCACGTAAATTAGAATATTATCAGTAAGGATAACAGTAAAGGGGCGTAAGTACCGGACATACGCCTTCTTAGTGTTTACTGACTGGACTTACTTCCACTTGGCGTAAAAAAAATTGACGAAAAATCTAAGATATAGACAGAAAACTCCATTTCCGAAGAAAAAAAAACATACGCCCCTTTGGTATCGAAAAAAAAAATCGAAAAATAATGGCACTTACGCCCCTTTACTTTTAGAGCGACGACATAAGATTAACCCCTTCAATGAAAA